CTTTCGAGCCTATACAGCTTGGAGTAAGACAACATGCATGAAGAGGATGATGTGGACAAAATACTCATTTGCCTAATAATTCTGCACTCCCTGTATGTTGAACGTGACAAACAGTGAAAGATTGCATTTGCAGGGGGATGGTGAAATGCACATATAGTAACACAGAAAATCAAAAGAATTGGGATTTATAATAAGTGTTTTTAAAACATATATTAATAATTGTGGTATGTGTGACAATGTTCATGAAAAGTTTTTGTTCAGATTGGTCCACGTGTTAAGGGATAGATAGGGTACACAGACACATGTTCCTACACACATACACTATGATCATTATGGTAAAATTACTTTCTTTGTGAACCTCTTCTTTCTTTTTTTTCCAGACATACATAGGCAGCATTCTGGTGTCTGTGAACCCCTATAAGATGCAAAACACCTATGGGACAGACATGGTGCTCATGTACAAGGGCTGTGCCTTGGGAGAAAACCCTCCGTAAGTTATTTTCACTCTAAAATTGTTGAACCGTGAACCTTATATTTAAACAAAACAATAAATGTCAAATTATTAAGTATGTTTCATCCATGCTGACAGCTGTTAATAACTGTCAGCAACAGAGGATCAAAGTGCAGAAAGAGGGAAGCAGAATACTTTGTTGCGCTTCCTTTAAGTGTCTGAAGGCTTGTTGTGTATCTCTTTCTCCGTCAGGCATTTGTTTGCCATAGCAAACGCTGCTCATTCCCAAATGATGGATGCCAAAAAAAAACAGGTCATAATAATCAGGTAAGAGGCTGACTCTCATTGTCTCTTCAGTCACTTTCTCTGTAAATATGAATCAGACAACAGAGACGTGCATGCAGTTAATTATACGGTGCATTGTATTTTTAACATCTGAGTCTTGCAATGTGAAGCTTTTCTTTTGTATCCTTTGATATATCATTGGTAACCTTTCAAGGTTGTCCGTGAAGCTTCTTGGTTAAAGGTTTCCATCTACAGATGGATTAGTGTTTGTAAATTCATGAGTGTCTGTCTGTGGTTTACTGGCCAGCAAACTTAAGATGGAGTGTTTTGCTCCATGTCAGAACTGATCTCTTGGAAGAAAAAACACACACACACACAAACACACACACGCACATAAACCAGTGAAGTTAAATTTACCAACACTTGAGTGTGACTTCATTTAGTGGCTGCGCTCATCTGTGAAAACAAACACACCGACATCCAGAGGTTTGCACAAACATAGGTCTATGCTTTTGGATATGACAAAAGACACTCATAATATACACATAAACGCACACTCACACATGCACACGCCCTCACAAACCTGGAACACTTTAGCCGTATTCGGAAGGAGACACCTGTAAGGAAAGCCCAGCCAGGTCTGAGTTGGAGCAGGTTATGTTTCAGAGGTGTGTGTGTGTTCGTGTGTGAGTACATTTGTGCGGGCTGTGTGCTTGCAAGTGTGTCTTTGTGTTTCAGTTAGTATGTGTTAAGGGGTAACTGAGGTCTGGTGTACAGTGACCAATAATGGGCCTGTTTTTAGCTAAGCAGCCATTGAGCTGAAACCCTATGCTGGAATGCGGTGAAGGTGCCAGCATCCCTAAATGCACACACACACACACACACACACACACACACACACACACACACACACACACACACACACCCTTTGGCCAAGCTTACATAATGGTGGTATTTAGTGCTTGGCAGTGGTAGATCAATGGACCTGTGTGTGCATGTGTGTGAAACTCTTTCAGGTGGTTTAATGCAAAAGTGGAACCGAAGCCTTGCCTAATGCAAGATTAGCCTTGTCTCACATCACTTAGTCAATTAAGTCAAACACTCTGCAAGCACCACCACAGAGGTGAAAAGGATCAAATAATGGACGCTCTAAATGATTTCTGGAAGTCCTGAGAAGCTGTGCTCTAATTCAGGGTAATGTTCACACTTGGTGAGCTTTTCCTTGCATCAAACCTGTTTTTGTTTTTCCACTAGTAGAATGCAGATGATCAAAATAGTTCAGAGTTATTTTTGCCTACCATTAAAGAATATAATCTTTTACACTGCTCAAAAATAAAAGGAACATTTTTTATTCAGAGTATACCATCAAGTTAGTTAAACTTCTGGGATGTCAGCATGACTGGTTTGGTGGTGGGTCAGGGATGGTCTGGGGGGGCATATCCATGGAGGACACACCTCTATAGGCTAAGCACTGACACCATGACTGGCGTTACATATCGGGATGAAATCCTTGGACCCACTGATACACCCTACTCTGGTGCAGTGGATACTGGATTCCTCCTGCTGCTCAACAATGGCCGGCCTCATGTACCAAAAGTATGTAGGCAGTTCCTGGAGGATGAAGGATCTGATACCATTCACTGGCCCCCACGTTTGCCTGACCTAAATCCAATAGAACACCTCTGGGACATTATGTTTCAGTCCATCCGACGCTGCCAGACTGCACCTCAGACGGTCCAGGAGCTCAGTGATGCCTTGGCCCAGATCTGGGAAGAGATCCCCCAGGACACCATCTGTCTCATTAGGAACACCCCCCGACGTAGTCAGGCATGCATGGAATCATTTCTATCACTTGATGTGCCATCATTTCATTGAGCACATTGCCCAGTCCATATCTGTGTAGATAGCAGCATCATTTCTTTCCACTGATATCAGTGTTTCCAAAGTGTTCCTTTATGGAAATGGCACCTCATAATTAACCCATCATGGCTGTATAACAATAAAGCTTTTTGTATCTGGGCTTTGAAAAAGCACACACAAATTTTAAACATTAAAAACTGGGCATTGTAATGTTTGATAAGCTCAGTTTGTATGCACTAATATTCAAACTGTCCAGGTGCTGGTTATCTGAGGAAAAGTTGTCTCCAGCTCAGCTGAGCACTGGGGCAGTTCTTGATTGTTTTCATTGCTGTGTTGATGGGTTTTCTGTATTCCCAGTGAGACTCTGTTACTGTGTTTCAGTGGGGAGAGTGGGTCTGGAAAAACCGAGTCCACCAAACTCATCCTTCGCTACCTAGCAGCTGTACTTCACAAAACTAATCTTGCGCAACAGGTATGCACACACACTTCCTGACATGAATAAAGAACTGCCATCAGAGTTGGATATTTGCAAACTAAGACACTCAAAGTTTTCCTTCTTGTAATGACGACTAATGTGCTTGTGCATATTTTTTATTTGCCTGTATCTCCGGTGGCTTTCCTTGGGTGCAGATTGAGGTAGTTGGGGTTTTCTGCATGCTGCGTGTTTTATATTTTACAAGTAATTTTCATCAATGGCCATAAGAATATCAGGTTACTGTGTTTTGCCGTGGTGTGTTTTTCTATGATTCATTTGGCCAGACATTCCCACTGAAACAGCTTCTTTCCTGTGTGTTGTACAGTTACAGTTACTGCTCCCTTTATAAGGCGATCTGATAAAGGTTTATATATTGTTTGTGTGTTTGGCATCCCTGATAGATACTTGAGGCAGCTCCTCTTCTGGAATCTTTTGGAAATGCCAAAACCGTGCGGAACGATAATTCCAGTCGCTTTGGGAAGTACATTGAGGTCTTTATGGAGAAGTGAGTTGTTGTTTTTTTTAAAAAGCAACAAGCAAAACTTTGACTTCTGCTCTGATCTCACTCCAGCTTCTTTTACTTCTGAAGCTGCTTCTTTTTCACGTGTGTTTTCTGATTCCTTGTTTTCCCAGTGGTAGGATCAGTGGTGCCATAACCTCTCAGTATCTGCTGGAAAAATCCCGCATCGTCTTTCAGGTGAGGCAAGCTGACACAAAGGTCTCGATAGCTTGTTTATTTCTGTATATGGAAGTGTTGCTGTAAATGTGCCGCGTGTGCTTCAGGCCAAAAATGAGAGGAACTATCACATCTTCTACGAGATGCTGGCAGGTCTTCCTTCGCAGCAGAAGCAGGCCTTCTATCTACAAGAAGCTGAAACCTACTATTACCTCAACCAGGTAGAAGATAGTTTGAGTTTGATCATCATCATTGTCAGTGATTTTGGGTCACGACCCTTCCAAAAATCCTTCTCGGGTCACGTTTAGCACTGCTGGTCTTCTCGTTCTGCACACAGGGAGAGGATTGTGGGATAAAAGGGAAGAACGATGCAGAGGACTTCCTACGTCTGCTTTCTGCCATGGAAATCCTTCACTTCACTGCGGATGACCAGTCGTCCATCTTTAGAGTCCTGTCTTCCATACTGCACCTGGGCAATGTTTACTTTCAGAGGCATGAGGTGTGAATTATTTTATTTCTCAGGTTTTTCTCATATGTCATCCCCTTTTTTTAAATTTTGATTAATATAATAATAAGGTGCAAAGTGTTCAGTCACCTAGACTAATGAGTTAAATTCTAAAATAAACTAAACTTTATCAGGACAATAAAAACTATGTAAGATAAGCAGCAAAGATTTTCCCACAGGTAATTCTTCTTTTCTCTTTTCTTTTCTTTTTGCATTTCTATTTTCCTCCTGAACTGCAGGCTGATGGCCAGGAGGTGGCGTCAGTGGTTAGCACTCAGGAGATCAGAGTAGTCGCAGAGCTGCTGCAGATCTCACCAGAAGGACTACAGAAAGCCGTCACCTACAAAGTCACAGTCAGTATCAAACCGTGTCCCGTCTGCATGTGCACTGATGTTCTGTCTTTTGTTCGCTCAGTGCTTGAAAACAACAAGCATAGCACTGCAGTGTGTGACATTCCTGAACCTGGAGGTGATTTTTCTACATTGTCAACAGGAAGGTGATGTGGCACTATGCCAGCGTTTCTACCTTACTTACACAGCTGTGGTTACATTAAAGGCATTGTATCGCCCAGAGTGTCGCTTACGCAGACACAAAGGAGACACATGTGTTGATGCCACACACAGAGTGAAAGAATGAAAGACAAGAAAGAGGCAAACTGCTGTCATCGACCTGCTTGGATGGTTCTTTTCTCATCCTGACCTCCTCTGGTCGGTTATTAGGATCATTTCTATCCAACCTGACTATTTCTATAAAGCAGGGGGTTTTGTGGAGTATTTGGTTATCAATTCCAATGAACCATGCCATGTTTTAAAGGGGAATTTAAATATACTGGAGTGCAAAACATTGGAAGATACTTTGTATATGTTTGCGTTTTAAGGCCTTAAACAGAACAATGAATTTAGAAGTGAAAGAATTGAAAAACAAATCAAACATGTGCATATAGCAGCCTGTAAACTAGGAGAGCCTTCAGCATTTGTGAAGGAGGTGCATGATTATTTATCGAAAGACTTCACTGCTGATTTAGTTTAAATCTAGGACAGCTCATAGCTCTGTGTAGTGCAGGAGAGTGACTCAGTTTATCAAAGATTTATTGGAGGAGTCTGATTAAAATTGTTCCCTTTTTTAAAAATTCCTTTATTAAGAGCCAAACATTCAACCCAGTAACTTTTTTGACCCAGCTGATAAACTACCAGCAAAATGGCAGACATCCTCAAGTGAATGTACAGCATGAAAAAAAGTCTAAAACTGAGTTTTGCAAGTTTAGCTTTTACCTTTGTTGGTGTATTAGTGGTATTCAAATAAATGCAGATGTGCCTTTAATAGGTCACTTTTAATGATCTGTATCACTTTCACATGGTGAAAACAAGACTTTGCAACATTATACACAAACAGCACAATTTGATTAAGCTCTTGACATCATTGAGGAGGAAATGTCTCTCACCAGGACCAAGATCAGGAAGGGCAGCCATCTGCCTCAGCTAGTGAAGGTAAAAGGGGCAAAAAAGTATGATGCACAGACAATATATATAAAAACAAACAAACCAAAAAACAAGGACGGGTCAGTCTAAATTAATTCAGTTCTATTCAGTTTTATTTTATATATGGATCAAATCACAACAGTTGCCCCAAGACACTTTATATTGTAAGCTAAAGACCCTAAAATAACACAGAGGAAACAGAGAACAACAATAACCCTCTGTTAGCAAACACTTGGGAACAGTGGGAAGGGAAAACTCCCTTTTTACAGGAAGAAACTTCCAGCAGAAAGAGCCTCAGGGAGGAGCAGCCATCTGCTGTGACCGTTTAGGCCTGAGCGGTGGAGACAGGACAAAAGACAGACTGTGGAAGAGAGCCAGAGATTATTAATAACTAATCATTAAATGGAGACTCCTAAAACGAGTGACTGAAACCATCAACTCAGCAGGAAATTGTATAGAGTGTTCAAGTCAGAAAGTCCTCTTTCTCATAGGCCTCTATAGGTCTGAATGTCTTTTTTGCAGCCATCTGGTGGTCTGCAGTTAGAATGCAATTTGAGGGCACTTTCACACTGGTTTAATTTTTCCAACCCACAACAGGAGGCAGCCCACAGCGCTGGAGACTCGCAAGGGGGAAAGCATGAATGTAAACGGCTGCACACATCCACACATCCTCGATACATCAGAGGACACAGAAAAAATTCATATATAGTATTTAGACTGAGCTATGCTATTTTAAAAGGGAAAGCATCTTTTTACTTCTTTTATTTTTAGTGTGCCGCAGAGATGAACAGCCACATTCAGCTTACAGCTCCAGGGCGTGAATCTGTCAGTCATGCTTTTGTTGTGATTTCAGCTTTTTATGCTTCTGGTTTTTGAATCTAACCAGCTGGGAATCCTCTTTGTCCAAAGAACGCGGTTACTTATTTCCACGAGGCTTTGCTGTTTGCATCTTAGTGTCTTCATTTCTATACCTTACACATTCTCCTGCATAAAGAAGAAATGCTGTTTTGTTTTCATGTGAACTTTCTTGAGGTCCATTGAATTCAAACTGGGACAGGATGGTAAATTGGTCATTTTTTTATGCTCTGAAGGAACTTCTTTAAAAATAGTAAACAGTTAGGTGGTGACAATTTTAAAACCTAGACTGTTTGCAGAACAAATAAATACATTTGGTTCCATTTTTCCTTATTGTTGCCCACATGGTCAAGTGTGATTAAAAAACAAACTATTTTTGTTATTAATTCCAAACTAACCCAAACTGAGTGTGGAGAAGTGTCACAATACCAGTAAGTATTAAAACCAGAGAGCATAAAAACCTTTGCAGAAGCCTGGCTTTACTTGAACTTATCTCCTTTATTATTTTAAAGCAGCATAAGAGATTTCACAGCTCCAGAAAGTTTGATGGAACTTTTGAAGGAACTGTCAGTGTTAACAGCGCAGTTAAAGGACTTGCACGTGACTTACAATAGCCAAAAACAGAGAGAGGATCCTCCATCGCATTTGCTGTTCCGTTATCCTTAATTACCAGTACATGAGCTATTGATGTGGTCATTATCATCCAGCTAGGAAATGAAGTGAATCCATACCAAATCCAGGAAAGGAACAATTAAAATATCCCACTGTCCATACAAGTGTTCCAGTTGGTCATCCACCTATTTGTGTATTTCCTTGTTTGCTTAATTTCCATCATATCCATGAACAAAGTAGAAAAAAAACATATTTTTTTTGTTAAGCAAAGTATTTCTCCTCTTAGTATTTCGTTTTTTGGATCCATTTTCTTTTATGTGTAAGTGTCCAGTAGTTTCTCTGTCCGGTTTAAGGGCTGATTCAACTCGTCCTGACCCCTCTGGTGCTGCCTCTGGTGAGGAATGAGGGTGATGGGAGAATTAAAAGAGAGAAACATCTAATTATCACCCACCTTATATCTTCCACATACACATGCTCCTATACACTAACCAAGGACCTTTTGTATAATTGAATTCCTAATTACAAAGGTGCCTGAGTAACAGGAGAGGGGTGAGTCGTACCCACTCATTTCCTCTCACTGGAGGAATCATGTGTACACATTAGTGTCTTTGTGTGAGCGCACACGTGTGTGTGTGTGATAATTAAGTGTGTTTGGCAAGAGAGGGTCTCAAGTCTCAAAGCATTCTTTATCTGATCAGATCTCAAGTTTAAGACACCCGAATCAATGAATAAGAGAGTAGAAGAAAGGGAAGAAGGGAAGAGCTGAAAGGATGCAAAGGAGTGGATACAAATATAGGAAAAGAAGTTAAATAGGAAGCAGTTCAGTAAAAACAAAGGGTGAAAAGCCTAACTCTTCAGCCCAGAACTTATGGCGTCCTGTTGTGATTCTTCAATTGCAGAAGAAAAAGTTCTGCTTCTATAAAATATATATTACAGTGCAGGGGAAAAAAAGGAAAAACAGACTGGAAGAAGCAGGAAGCAGGTGGAGGATAAGACCACCTGATCTGTCAGCCCAAGATGAGAGCCTCACCACAGTTACTGAACAGGCACCAATGAGGGGCACATTAGCAGGAAATTTGGGTGCAATTCCATTTTTAATTTGAACTTAAAGCCTTTCAACTTCAAACCAAGATGAAAGGAGGCTTGAGACTCTATATTATCAGGTAGACGTCTGCGTAAAACGTGCTGACTTAATGTTTTTTCACAGGAAACAATGAGGGACAAGATCTACACCCCTCTGAGTGTAGAAAGTGCTATTGATGCCAGGTGAGAGACAGTTACACACAGAACATGCCGTGCATAAAAAATCATTACATTTATTACCGTTAATTTATGTAAATAACATGTTTGCATCTTTATCATTATGTATGCATGCACACTAATACATGTGCACTAAATTACTAACACATATGCAATCTTAAAATCCCTTTTGTCTTAAAGTTTTACCTAATAAAATTCTTGCTAATAACAATGCATATGTTTTCTTTCTCCTTTTTAATTTCTTATATCATTGTGTCACTCGCTGCCCACCACTCACACACATCCAGAGATGCTGTTGCCAAGATCCTATATTCGCTGCTCTTCCGCTGGTTAACAGAGAGGATCAATGGTCAGGTGTACCCTCACCAACACACCCTCTCCATCTCCATCCTGGACATTTACGGATTTGAGGTAACGGAGCCTTGTTGTATGTTTGACCTTAAACCCCTCAGAAAAAATTAGAATGCAATGAATCCTTAGTAGGTTCTAAAATTATTTTAAACTTAATCACAGATGAATAACAGTGCATGATATATTGCACCTTGTCATTATTTATTTAATAATTATTAAGAAAATAAATGAAGAGGCAGCTTTACTTCTTCTATAGGAATTATAGGAATGCTACTTTCAGCTACTCCTTTGCCACATGGGGTCGTCGCAGCCGGCAGCTCTACATCTTTGATTCATTAGAGTTTTGCACCAGATACCCTTCATGACACCACCCCAAAGGGGATTTGTGGCTTTGGCTGGAATTGAAGCAGCAACCTTTCACTCACACTACATCATGAGAATGATTAGTCACAAGTGGAAAGTATTCAAAACTGCTGCCAATCGACACAGGAGTGAACGACCCAGCAAATTCACCCTGAGGTCATAACGTGCAATATTCAGAAAAACTGCAAAAACCCAAGAGCTCCATCTCAACTCTACAGGCCTCAGTTAGGATGTTGAATGTTAAAGTTCATGACAGTATAGTTATAAAAAAGACTGAACAAGTGTGGCCTGTTTGGAAAGGCTCACAGAAGGAAGCCTCTTCTCTTAGGACAGTTTAGGTGTGCAAATTTGCGGTGCACGAGCAGCTTATCAACACAAACACCTGATACCAGCTGTTAAACATGTGGTGCAGGGGTGATGATTCGGCTTGTTTTCCAGCCACGGGGCCTGGACGCCTTGCAGTTACTATTGACTATGAACTCCTCTGTATACCGAAGTACTCTAAAGTCAGATGTAAGACTGACAGCTAAAGCTAAAGCATTTGAAATAATCCGTCGCATTCCCAGTAATGCAGTCAAAGTTTTTATTGACATAACTTATAACTATAAGAGAAAAGATTCAGATTATTATCAGCAGGGAAGGAAGGAAGGAGGGCTTAACAATGTTGCACGTTAAAGATACTCAGAGGGACGTCCAGATAATCACTTTGTAAGCATGATGATGAGACAGAATTACCATAAGAATTACCATATATAT